TTGGCATAGGCCCTACGGCTTTCATCCTCGCCTATCTTCAAGGCCATTAGGGCGTCTACCCTCAATGGCTGTAGTTTGTTTGTCACGAACCTGGCCACAAACATCTCGGCCAGGCCTTTCCAGGTTTTCATAATTCCTTTCGGCATCTTGTGAAACTAGTCCGATGCAATTTCCCCGAATGATGAGGGGAACACTTTGCAGAGCAACGGCTCGTTCCCAGTGTATAATGCCATCACGTTCAGGTATAATCCGACGTAAAAGTTGGGGTCCGACTTCCCATCGTATATCTGGAACCTCAGCATACTGAATCTCTTCGGGATCTCAACTTTGTCTAATTCTTCCGAGAACGGCGTTCTCGGTTTGACCGGGGAGGTTACCTCGGCATCTTATTGCTTCCTCTATAGGTGATCTCCCAGATCTTCTTTAGCTCGTCCAAGGGCTCGGCTATCTCCGGATTTCAACCTTTTCGGGGCACTACATCTAGTGTCATCGTGAGTCCTTTTGGACCTCCCTCCACTGGCCGTGTCGAAACGGAGTTCCTTCCCCTGAACATCCCGATGTTCTTTGGTGCAGGTTTCTTTTGTTCGACGTGCCTTCTGGGATTCTCCATTCCCGATCTCCCGCGAAGACCGGTGAGAATGTCCCTTGGTCCCGCCATGCTGAGGGACTGCAGGAACCGTTTTCTGCCCCCCTTTTTGGGCACCTTTCTTGGCCGCTGGAATCGGCGTATCTTGTAGCGAGAACGGTGACTACATGACGTTGTTCTGCATCATAAAATTGACGACCGTTTGCAAGTCCGCCAATTTGTTCGCCATTCTCTTTATCTCGTCGTCTCTCCGTAGGCATCTATCTTCCATACCTGGAGGTTGTCCTCGCTATAATACCCGCTTCGGCCCGATTTCTTCGGTATGCCGCCCTCCTGGCCGACGTCCTTTCCTCCGTGATTCTTATCACGAGTCTCTTTGTTGCAGTTGTTTTCTTCGACGTCAAGGTCAATATGTTTCCCACTCTCGGTAGGGATGTCGTCCCCATCCTTCTCTTTCTGTCTGTCGTTGGCCATCTATTATCCTTTCTTTCCCACATACGGCGCCAAATTGTGTGAGTGATTTTCTGACCACACTACCGACTCAGTATTCAGCTGGAGAGCACTGGCAGAATAGATTGCACCTGTCTAACCTGCAACAGAAAGAGAAGATTCCGGCGGTGGTTCGTCCACCCCGAGGCACTCTGACGATCAAGTCAGTATATCTCTCAAAGATAATCAATAGTGTTAAACTCACTATTCAGAATATAAATTGCGTACCTTAGACCCATGGGGGTGCCTCTCTTTTATAGCAAACTCAATCCTAGTCCCAATAGAAGCCTAGCTCTAATGGGCTTAGGATTACTGCTAATCTTGAACTCCTAGTAGGATTAGGATAAACTCTCTAAGAGTCTTATCTTTACCCAAACTGAAGTCTTCTCCCATTCTAGGACTCTTGTCCCTTATCCGCTTATCTCGGATTCTGGTATTGCCGCAAAATATCTCGGCAGTGCCCCAAATATCTCGGCAAACATGATCTGCCCACGTAGCACCTCGGCTAACAACCTCGCCCACGTGGACTACCCAAAAAATGTCCCCACACTAGTCATAGGCTTCGTTTGGGAAATTGGATTGGTTTTTGGCTATTTTAACTCAAACTAAAAAGTTCATTTTTGTTGTTTTTTTTTTTTTTTAACTTTTGAGAGAGAAAAAGTAAAATGATTATGATTTAAATGTGATATTTTGTCTTATTAATTTTTTTTCTATTTTCTCTTTTGTGATTAATTTAACTAAAAAGTCATCCCAACCCAATTGTCAAACGACACCATATTAACTAAATTAATTAATTGTTATTATTATGTTTATTATTGTAAAATATATATATCATATTTTTTATTATATAAAATTTTAGAATCATAAAATGGAATGGAATCAAATTGATTTCTATGAATTAATTGTGATCCAATTACATAAATTTAACATCTCAAACTAATTCGATTATTAATTTATTCTAAATTTATATCAATCTGATTAGTTAACTTTTATTTTGAAACTTCAAGGGGTTATCCTAGTGGCTTGAGACCTAGGATTTAGGGGTTTGCTCTTTTTTAAGTCTCAAATTCAATTCTCCCAATTAACATAAAACCATAAGCATATATAAAAATCATACAAAAAGTTTGACAAGAATGATATGTCAATAAAATTATTATAAATAAATCTATCTTCAATGGTCTTTTGTTTTGAAGTAAAAGATTCACAATAAGCCACATTATTATGTACGAAAATTACGTATGAATTTTTTATTTGTGTAGTATTACTTTTTTTTATTAATCCTCACACTAATAATCTCACACAATTTTTATTATTATTATTATTATTATTATTTTGGATAATCGAGTGTTCGGACCAGCACCCCTTCGGAGTGTCGCACCTCGACTAATCTCAGGGCCTTGAGCCGATTGACCAGGCAAAGACGCAGTGGCCCGCCAGTAACCAACTGAGGGTGGGATTCAAATCTGAGACTAGGGGTGTGCATAGTGCGGTTTGGATGGTTTAAAAATAAAATTACAAACTAAATAGCGAGTTAGCAGATTAGCGGATTTTTGACGGATTGAAGAATATTCCAACTAATTATCATACATTTGTATAATATTTTTAGATATATAACACACAGTAATTTTACATAATATGTTTCATATATATAACCATTAATTTGTAATAAATTTCATATATTAAATCACTTTCACACTCATTTTTACATTGATATTTTATTAGAAGTTAAAAAATATATATGTATTAACTATAGCGGAGTGGAATAGTTCGGTTGACGGATTATAAATTTTAAAGTTTAAACTGCGGTTAGCAGTTAGAGCGGTGTGGATTGATGCAGATCGATGCAGTTTTAGCGAATTTTGTGGTATTTTACACAGCTCTACCTGAAACCTAGAGAGAAGCATACTCCTATATCCCTGATTCTTTGCTCTCAACCAACCGAGCTACCCTTACGGGTTAATAATCTCACACAACTTAACTCTAAAAACAAACTAGCTCATCTAACTCTAATAACAAACGAGCTTTTAAAGTCACCGCTCGCAAGAAAACTTGTTTCAAAAGGTATGTTTAGACTATAGGGAGTTAGTTTGATGTGTGAAAACTGACCCAAAATACCCTGCATAACCTTAAAAAAAAAAAAAAACTCTTATTTTGACATTATAACCTTTTCTCAGGTTTTATTGTGCGAGACAAAGCACAACAATGAAAGAATATTCCATCTATTCTTAGTTTTTTATTGGGAAATTGACCAGTAAATCCCATTTTGTGGACTTGTAATCCATGAGATCCTAAATGTTTTCTTGGTGACTGAATGGTCCCTTAATTTGTTTGTTGACTATTTTGCCACTACTAGTATTATTGGTTGATTGGCGTGGGTTGTATAGAGAAGGTGAACGAGTGTGTTGTGTGTCACGTTGATCGGAAAAGTACACTAATACATTTTTCTAATTTAGTAGGTTTGTAACACGCGTAGAAGTGAAACGTGATAATGTCATAGTGTTGTTTCGTACGTGACGTGAATACGCAAAACAAAACTCACTGAAATGGTTTCGAATTTCTATTCAAGTTCGCATTTCTAAATCATGAGATGAAATTCAATTCCCAGATCTGGCGATGCCGACGTGGTACACCAAAATCAAAGTTCATACAATCTGTGAAAAATTCAAATCAGACGATGCCGACGTGGTTTGCATTTCTGAAGTTCGCATTTCTACGGCATCGACTGTTCGCATATTCAAAATACAGTCTGTTCATACAATATGCGAACTCATGATTTCAGATTTTGTAAAAAGTTCACATTTTTAGATTTAAAGTTCACAGATTTGTATTTTTAAAACTTGAATATGTGAAAAATCCAAATCAGACGATGCCGACGTGGTACACCAAAATCGACGACATAATTTCAGAAACCAAAGTTCGCATTTGTAGAAATGCAATTCCCAGATCTGACGATGCCGACGTGGTACACCGGCCTGCCGGATTGAAACGGATCCCTCTGTTGTGGTACACCGGCCTGAAAAACGGATCCCTCTGTTCTCAAACACACTGAAAAACGGATCCCTCTGTTGTGGTACACCGGCCTGCCGGATTGAAAACCCTAACCCAAGCCCAACCAGGATCATCAAAAAAAGCTCAACAATCACAATCATTATCAACCCTAACCATACCATGTCTCTGAACATGAAAACCCTAACCCAAGCCCTAGCGAAGACCGCCGCGATCATCGAAAAAACCGTATAGACCACGGTCCACGAAGTCACCGGAGCCAAACCCCTTCAAGACTATGACCTCCTCGACCAGATCGGCTCCGCCGGTCCAGGCCTCGTCTGGAAGCTCTACTCCGCCAAAGCTCGCTCTGGATCGGCTCTCTCCCACCAGTACCCCACCGTCTTGAGGACTCATTTTTCGACGTTGTTCGAGCCGATGCGGCGCGGCTCGTGAGGTTGAGGCACCCTGGGGTAGTTCATAACGGGCCATAATTGATGTGAGGGCATATTTGTCCCCCACATAATAATGTAATTCAAAAAAGGAGTTATCAGTAAGATATCTCTACTATCATGGACTGCCTAATCAAACAAAATATTCATGGGACCAAATGGAATACAATTTCATCAGATGGGACTTTCTGATAAATTCCCCTTTAAATATAGATAGACAGTCCTATGTGATTTTGAACTAAAATGCATCTTTTAATACCGTTAATTATATATGTGAAATGACTATAATACTTTCAAACCGTATACATGTTTTGTTATTTTCTTTCTATTTCCATATCTCATACACATAATTTATAATGTTTAAATAAAAATTAATATTTAAAAATTAAAAAAAAAAACAAACAAAACAAAACAGCACATGGAGACGAAGAAGGCAACGAAACCCTCCGTATCTGTGTCTTTTATACATATAGACACATAAGGGTGTCCAATCAGAATCCATTTTAACATTCGATCAAGAAATTATATAGAGAGAGAAAGTCTAGAGAGAGAGAAAATGTCGGGCGTTGCGAGTCAGCCGGCGGCGGAGGAAGATAAGAAGCCCAACGACCAATCGGCTCACATCAATCTCAAGGTCAAGGGCCAGGTCTGTAAACACTCATATATGTATATATGTCTCCGTCTCTCTCATGAGTGTTTGTTTGTTGATGAATAGTCTTTTTGGTGTTAAAAATAAATGATTTTTAGAATTCGTTTTTAGGATTTTTTGGTGGAAGTGTTATTTGCTTTTATGATTATGATAATTTGGGGCTTTGTATTTGTTTAGTTTATCATTGATTGATTGTAGGCTTGCTTAATTCACATAGGGTTTCGTGTTTTGTGATTGTTGCATAGCAGTTCATATCATAGTCCTAGTGGATTATAAATTAGGGGTTTGTTTTTTGGGTGTTTGTTTCCTACTAATAATTTTGGTGTTTTCTTGTGTATCATGGGTTAGTTTGATGATGGATTGTAATTTTTTTTGTTTACATTGATATGGGTCTGTAATAATTTACTTAATATTTAAGAGTTTTAATTTGGTTGATGGGTTTGCTGAGTTTGGTTGTGCATAACATGTCTTGCGTTTACAAGTCTTGTTTGCCACTGCATGTAGTGTTTTAAGTCCAAGTCAGTTGTTTGAAGTAGTGAGATTGCTGTGGTTTAGTATTTAGATGCATCATCACAACATTAAGCCCTTATTCCTCTAGTGCATATTGTGTTGTGCTAACTGGACTGTATTTTGTTACTAATTTATTATGCCGTTATTAATTCAACAATGAAGGAATTGAAATACTCACCTATATATTGAAATCTTTACATATCCTGACTAATTTACTAATAACAATTAAAATCCTCACTAAAATTCTTTTTAACATTAATAACAATATCAATTGGCAAGATTCCGAAAAGTGAAGGACTCATGCAACAACTAGAAGGTCAAAAAGGAACCGCGTATCTAGACTCCAGTCAATATCCAATTGTAGTTGGTGTTAATTTTCCTATAACTAGAAGGTCAAAAAGGAACCGCGTAGAGAGGGAAAGGTTGTAGATTCAAGTTTTTGTTTTTGTGATTTGTTGGAGAATTTTAATAAGCAAATATGTGATACTCAAGGAAGGCTAGACTAGGAAAAAGGAAAGTAATGGAGAAGATGAATGAAAAAGGAGCAGGAAAAAAATATAGCTGACAATGAAACCCTCGTAGAGCCTTTGGGTTGTGAGCTAAGTAGCACTAACATGTGACACAGATTTTCAAAAAAAATATAGAACACGAATAAAATTGAAAGATGACGTGGTATATTAATGTGGATAATGATTTATGAGAGTTAAAAGCTGTAAGACAAGAAATAATTAGTTTTTGTCTAATTATATTTGAGAAATTAAATTTTATTACTCCCTCCATTCTAAAATATTAATCCCTTATTTCATTTTTCATTGTCTCAAAATATTAGTCTCTTTTCAAAAATTAAGGACAAAAATAATATGAATTTTCTATTTTTTCCTTCTTTTAAATTCATTAACAACATAAAAAATACAATTATGACAATTGATATTCTCTAAAAAATGTATTATTAGAGGGTAATTTTGAAAAATCAATTTTTTTAAAGTGCAATAATTGTACTACCAAAAAAAGTTGGATTCCACAAAAGGGATTATTTGTTTTGGGACGGAGGGTATATATATATTATAATTTATACATACTAAAATATTTAATAAATATAATCAGAGTAGGGTTGGGGTTGGAGTTGAGGCGGGGGAAATTGTCATTCCTGGGTGAAGGATATTGGAATGGGAAGGAAACCGGAGATGGGTGATGAGATTGACCAAGAGGGTGGTAGGTGTGCATCCGGGTTCGTAGTTGTGTTGGGTGTGCACCAAAGGTTGGGATTAGAGGAGGTGGGGGTTGTGGCGGTGTGTCAGTGATGTTAGTGGTTGTGTTGGCTGGCGCAGCGATGAAGGGATGTTGTTGAAGGCATGGTTATCAAAATCGCGATCCGGATCCTACGATCCTAAATTATAAAAACGATCCAAATCGTTGTAGGATCGATATTATAGTGGAATCGCATATGATTGTATGGGATCGTGTAGAATCGTATAGGATCATAGATAGAATTGTAAGTAGGATCGCTGGTTTTATGATTTTTCACCTTATTTTTAATATATAATCTTGATTTGTATTCTTAGCTTATTTTTAATAGAAAGTAGAATCTTACGATTCTCGATCCAATCCTACATCCGATCCACGAGACTCTCTCACTAATTCTATATAGGATCTCTATTTTAACAACCTTGGTTGAAGGATATGAATAAGAGAGGTAGAGGGGGGGAAAAGAGGAGCAGTTGAGTACATTGACTAGTAAGGATCAAAATTTCATTATAAAATATTGTAACTAAATTGGATAGTAAAATGTTAATTTGTATTGAAAATAGTTAGAAAATAACAATTTTTGTCAAATCTTTTTGATCACCTTCAAAAATAAGCTGGAGTTCCATCTTGACATTATGGATGTTGGATAGTGCCCACGTGCAAAGAGGAGAAGTTTTTAGGCATTGTGTGTTTTGACGTACGATTCAATTAATCAAAAGAGTAGATCAAATCTTAATAATTTCATTAGTCATTATTAGTAATTGAGTGCGGGAATTAATTTTGTTTCTTTTAATGCGTTAAGGATTTAGAAAGTTTGGTTTATATGAATTATGGAAACAATAAATAAAATCTCTCATTAAATAAAAATAAAGAAAATATTTGTACGGGGGAAAATATTCATTACCTTCCGTACTCCTCGCTCCCAAGCTCGTCTTGCTCCAATAGAATCCTGTCATACTGCAAACAAACAAGGGTGAGCTACTTGGTGGTTGGGTTGCCAGAAAACCCCTTCGACAGTTAAGTTAGCTTTCTTGGAGAAGAAGAGAATAGAGAGCACTGTAGAGAGAGAGTGGCTAAAGGTTGCTTACCCTTCTGAATCTGGTCACGCCCTTTATCTAGGCTGGCTATGTAGCCCCAGATTGTGCTCGCACTACCTCTGCTGTTATTTGCTGGACGCGTGGTTGTACTGCCCTCTCCATTCCTCACACGTGTACACGTCAATACTGCCAAACAACATTGGCCAAACCGCCAAACAATATTGATGCGTGCTCAAAGCGGATTTTTCTTCTTCTGCCATTAGACCACATGGAATGCCCCAACCGAACGATCACTTCCAGCACCAACAGAATGCTAGCTTAGGATATCTTTATGCCTAGCTAAATCACACCGGCTCCCAAGTCGGCTTCGTGCTCGATCAATGCCTAAACGGTGCTGCACTCTTATACCAGTTGGTCTCGGCATGTCGGTCGGCATCTCGGCTATAGACCGCGCCCCTTGCACATCTTGCTCGGTCCTCGTATCCAGTTCACACCATGCCTAGTTCAGCCCATTCTCGCAGCCCAGACATGACCCTCTTCAACGTGACGCCTAAGACCACAAAGGTCTAGATATCGTGTCCATGTTGGTTAACTTGGCCCAACACCACATTTCGTGCTGGTTTGGCTCAACCCAACACCACGTTCCGTGCTGGTTCTACTCGGCCCAACACCACATTCTTCATTGGTTTAACTTGGCCCATTGTTCGGCACAAATCTCCCTCTCAATATTAATTATTGCAAGTGTAATTAGGATAATAATGAAGAAGGGAGCTACAACGTTTATGAATATTTTAACCTATATAATGCAATCTTTGTTTAAAATTTTCATGTCTTGAAAAGTTAGAAGAAAGTTAAACTGGAAGTCAAAAAGTGTTGATTTGGAGCTATAACTGAAAATAAAGCATAAAAAATAAATAATGAATGCTCATGCTATGAATTGGAGAAATAAATAAATTAAGCTTTTTTGTTCTTTTTCTTTTTCTTTGGTACACATTTATGAGCCTTTTTATAGGATATAACGTTGTGACTTGAACCCATGCCACAAATTTTCGAGAATGGGCCGAAGACCACAAGGATATCCACAGATGTGTTAATTGAGGGCCCCACACATATATATATATATATATTTTGATAACTCAGGGTGTTTGAGCCAATTAAGCTTTTTTGTTCTTTTTCTTTTTCTTTTTCTTTGGTACACATTTATGAGCCTTTTTATAGATATAACGTTGTGACTTGAACCCATGCCACAAATTTTCGAGAATGGGCCGAAGACCACAAGGATATCCACAGATGTGTTAATTGAGGGCCCCACACATATATATATATATATATTTTGATAACTCAGGGTGTTTGAGCCAGCTTGCGTGCACCTCTACCGTCCACTAACAGGGGACCCAGTTAAAACCAGAGCAAAGTTTCATATGAACTAGCGAAACACAAGGATTGCTTCTCTCTAGGTCTCAAGGTCAAAACCTCTTAGGTGCTAGTATACACCACTAGACCAACCCCTGGGGGTTAAGGGCCCCATTCATATAACTAGTATCCACAAATTTTGAGGGCCTATTTTATGTGAGTAGCACATAAGTTTTAGACATTGAATAAAAAAATGAAAGCACAAGGAGAAAAGAAAAGGAATAAAAAGCATGGGTACTTTAAAAATATTATCATAACAATGCGCGTACTGATAAGGCTGCACATGTAATGGGTATGTGAAATATGTATATGGTACTTTTTGAATGTTGGAACGATATGAGTACATTTTGGTTGCTTTTGTGTGTACGTCAAGGCATGAATGTTATTTTTAAAAAATATAGGGGTATTGGAGGAACTATATTGTGCCTGTTTTTAATAGCTTATATAATGTATTTTTGCAATTAACAATTTTTTTAAAAATACTGGGGATCTAAGAAGCATGGACATGGAAACGGAAATGGACACAAATAAAGACACTGGTATGGACATGTGACATGGTGATTTTGAAAATATTAAGATACACACACGGCGGAGACAAGGGAAAAAAATTCTTATGTATTTTTATTTGCTATGTATATGAATATTAATTTAAGGCATACAATTTTATTATTTTTTTTCAATTACTCTCTGTGTTCATATATTTTATAAAAAGAAACTCACAAAGGTGTCTTGCGGCGTGCCCAAATAGAGGAAACGAGCGTCCACGAAATTGGCAGGTTGTGTGTCTTGTCC